TGTTGGTGAAAGACAACAACAGTACAGAGTGCACATACACCCAGCTCTTCACGTTGAGATTCTAGTTGGGTAAAAATATGCAGTGTATTGAAAGATACTGGCATGATGACTAACTGAAGAGTTTGACTGTTTTAAGTAATTCTGTTCTGTAAATGTCCTCAGCATAAGACCTTGGTGAATAGGAAGTTTTTGACAGCTGTATTCCCTTTCTTAGCAGTTCATGGAAGCTTACACCATGCTCCTTTATTAATAAAGAGAATTCAAATTTTGAATTAGGGTGCTCGGATATGAGAAAAATAACCCCACTAGATTTCTCTACTGTAGAATGTAAATAAAGTAATTCTTCCTAGTGTTTTAGTCATATTCTAACTAGCTTTGCATTTCAAGTTACAGACTTCATTATTTTGAATATCCTTGTTCAAAGTCAAATTCAGAGACCTGAGAAAAAGCACAAATTAACAGATAAGGCTGTCTGGCCCTTGAATATGAACATTTAGTTTGAACTCGGTATCTTCAGGAATATGCCTCTGCAGAAATTTGATGCTGAATGAATTGATTACCTGCCTCTGGTCTTGTTTCTTCTTTCTCTTGTTTTTTTCACTGATGTGCCTACAAGCTACAGTAAAGTGAGAGGCATATAGGACCAGGTTTCGGTAAAACCTCCCCATTTCTGAGACAAGAGAAGGAAACATGAAGGAAATTTTTATGGCTGTGACCAGATTAGAAGCACCACTCCAGAATTCTCTACCCTGTCCTCCCTTCAGCACACACACAGATTTCAAAGTACGAGAGAGGATTCATAAATCCTTACTACACTCTTTTACAAAGAGTCAATTAAGCCTGTTGTGCAGATATCTAACACACAAGATTTCTCTGAGCTAGAAAAACAACCTGACAGTTTGGGCTTTGAGTTTCCTGTCCACATTAGTAAAACCCATAAAAATTACATTTTGCATGCTAATTTTGTATACAATAACTCAATTACATGCTATTTAATTCCAGTCACCTTCTACATTGCTTGCTGGTTTTAGTTTTCTGGCACTTACTTTATTTTCACATGTGCTTCAGATAGAAACATTGTTTAACTTTTAAAGCCGTTACATTTTGCTCATTTGTCTTCGGGGAAAAATGACAAAACACATTCTTTTGTGAAGTTCATGTTGATTGCCAGAGCAGGAAAGGACACGGGTTTTGGCACAAGAACTTTTCAATTTGAAAACAAAATGGTCAGCTTCAACGATCATACATAATTTCCTTCATTTAATGAGCATTATGATCTAACAGGAGTAAATGGTATTAACAAGGTAATGAAGCATTAGTACTGGCACAGTCTGCATCTAGCTGTCAGATACCAACATTTCACAGCATCTGCTAATCCTAAGCAGTCTTGATTCCTACTCAACATACAATAACCACCGTAGGTTTCAAAAAGACACCTGTCACGAGTGAGAACTGGGATATGATTGTATTTTAAGAGTTCTGTACAAAGTTACACAGAAAGAGATGTTTTAAAAAGAAGACTGTAGACGTCTTATAAAATCTCCCATAGAAGAAAGAAACAAACAAAAGAATCATGAACTGCTTGAGACTATTCACAGTAACAAAACTAAAACCAGGCCTAAAACTAAAACCCTGGACCTGGGGTGGCTTGTTTTTGGAAGAGCACACCACTACTATTATGATACTGTAATACTGGAGATGCATATACAATAGAACTACCACCTCCAGTACTTAACAGAAACATGGAAGTGTGTTGCATTTTCAGTATTCTAAAATTATTTGTCTCTAAGCAGAACACGCCAATTACTAAAACTCACACAGATACTTCAGACACCAGAGGTTTTTCCCCGTATGCTAAAACAAGTCTTGCTTTTGCCACAGACTCCACGGTGGACATATCTGGAAAGCTACAGGGAACTCCGTTCGTTCTGCTCTGACCATTCCCTGATCCTGTTGCTCAGCAGCACGCATACCTGCATCTACGAGGTGAGTAAGGGCTTCTTCTATTGCTTCCTTGTGATTTCACGTAAGGTATGTAAGGAGGAAAAGGTCATCTGATAAAGCAAGTAACACGTGAAATTAAACAGAATCCACATGGTGCAGTATTTGAAATACCAAACATTTGTCTTACATCTATTGAGCAGAAACATGTAGGTTTAAACAAACAAAACCCACAGCATTGTGAAAACACATCCCATATTGACTTTTCTGTGTATCACCCACTCAGGGCAACTAGACTGGAGACCAGTACTCTACATGCAGGGAGGCGGTGGACTTCTCTCTGCCTAGTTGTTTTCAGCTTCTTCTGGAGTTATTGGGAAGCGGAGATTTCCACATAGATTGGACGTAGCTCTGGTACAGAGCTGCCACCTGAACAGGGATGGCTTTTCGGCGGATGCGGTTTTACATGTGAAAGTGAGCTAAGAGGACTGGCAACGTAGCATCTTCAGTGCCAGATGCTAGTGCCTTTATATTGCCTCCAGAACTGCATTTTTTAGTGAAAAACCCTACAAAACAGCAAATTTTGATCTCTGTCGGAGTGCTTTGGTCATCATTTTGTCTGTTCCCACGACACACTATACCATACTATCATATACCACTATACCATATCCCATGAGGAATCAAAACAAGCTGATTTTAGGCTGTTTTGAAGAACATGTAAGCAGTTGTCCCATAACACAGTAAATCACTAGATACAAACAAACACTGTTGGACAGCTTAGAAAAACATGTTTTCTATTTATTTAAAAATAAGTTTGTAGTTACTACATTGCAGTGACAGTAATTCTTACACATACATTCTAGTTTGTATAAAAGGATTCAAAGTATTATGCATCAAAACTAACATAGAAAGTGTCCACATAACAGTAAAGAAATTTCCAATCCGTATGTACAAAAAGAAAGGGCACTGTTATCCTGGTGAGATACTTCAGGTTATAACATGATAATCCAGATTTCTCGAAGGAAAAAAAACCTTGATAAAGCTAAAGAATTATAGTTTTCAAAACTGTTACTCATTACGTACAACAGATTTGTTTTACATAATTCTGTACAAAATAAGTGTAATTTTTAATCTGAAAATGTGTCAGTTTCAAAATTAACCTTTCTAGGTAATTTCCTCGAAGTTGAGCTCCATTCTATACATATTTAAACATGATGACAGAATTTAATTCACGCAAGATCATTATCCAGTTGTCCGCCATACTTCTGCAGTTTTAGTATGGTCCAAAAATGTAACTTCTGTACGGTCTCAAGGTATTAGCAAACCAACACACGCAGCTGTAAGCACAAAATAGTCCATGTACATCATACAGGCATGTGTACACGATCGGTACTTGTATTTCTTTCTACTCCTAATTTGTATGACCTCATTCTTTGTTCTTTCAGGGTAGAAATTCATAGTATAGCACTACCTTCCCTCCCTAAAATGTATTGTTTGCATTATTTGAAGTGAATTTCCTGATGTATTTATCTGCATTAAAAAGGATCCAAATGACTACTTGTCTCACTACCTACCCCCTAAAAAGCTAAATTTATTCACCTTTCTTTTATTGCAGCATATAAGGTTTCTCTCTAGAGTGCCTTGAGGCTGTTATACCCTTGGGAAAAGGGGCGGGGGGGGGGGAAGCTAATGACTTTTTTCTGCCATTTAAGATGTCTTTTAATCTAGCTTTCCTGGCGTGTTTCCTCCTCTAACACACTGTAAAATAACACGTCGGATTCCCACATTAAAATTAGCACAAATGCAGGAGGCGCCTAGAGGTTAGCTCTAGTTTAAAAGCTACCTGTTATTTCCCGCAGACACAGCAGAAAGTGTACAAGCTGTATTCCTGATTCAAAAACAGGAAGCTAAGTAAGCTGTCAATACCAGATTTGTTATTGGAAACACATTGTCAAGCCTTGGCCAATCTCATGAAATTTAATACACTTTCCTCTGCATATGAACAAGCATGTATATACAATAATTTACAGCAGAAAACTAACAGCCCTTTTATCAGTTGAATATCTAGGTCCCCTTGGAAACCAATCCATTACAAGAACTTCAGGGATAAAAGAAAATATATAGTAATTTTTACACAGTTAATTTGTCTTCATTAGGTAGTAAACAGAAAATGAGCTTTTGCTGTTTCTAGGTGAGGTTTTAAAGCCCTCTACCTTCTGTATCACAGCACTGTTGCAGAGTTGTATTTAAATTCTTGTTAAACGCTCAACTGTGTTAAAAAAAGGCAAAAAGAAAAACCTTTGAAAAACTACTGTGGACAAAATACACTACTTTAGAGTAAGGTAAGGACTCAGGACACAATGTAATGATCGTGGTATGGCTATATCTTGATTGACCAGCATTATGTTATAACTACCTCAGCAAGATTCGCATGCTTCAAATTAAATGTGAATGTTGATGGAAGTGAGCTTAAAAACCTCTAACCTCCAATGCACTAAGTATGGGGTGAAAGGGTCCCATCCAGTTAAGCCTATTGCTTTTATAGAACCAGTCAACCATTTAACATGTGCCTAAATTCAAATTACACGCTAAAGCACTTACTTGTAGTCCTTGATCCGACAAACGTGAGCAAAAGATTTAACAATGCAGTGTAAAAATTGTAGCAAGATTGAAGTTACTGAATGGACAGACTATTTTTTGTGTTGTACGTAGTCTTTTTTTGGTAAGACAAAGGCCTGTGGCACAGAATCAGAATTGGTACTTGAAAAATATTTGTACAGCAATACAGTGAATAAGTTGTCTCTACACTACAATTTATTTTTTTATAGATATTAATATATCCTACGTGCTGCATCAGGGTCCTTTATCAATTAATAGTTTTACAAATATTAAGCCATAGTAATATTTAACTCAACCAACTCAATCTTACAAGTCTATCGACAAACTGATCACATGTACAAACCGGTCACTGTACAAATAAACATATGCAAATATATATCACAGCAGTCTAATCACTGGAGGAAGACGTTTTTCTGTAAAGTTGTATCACTGGTCATTACCGAGTGACAAAGAGCTCTAGTTCAATATTGACAATGATGAACACCATAGTGGTAAAATTTAAGTTCAGTTCCCAGAGAACACACTAACAACAGAAAAAAAAAATGGCTGAAGAGTTGTTAAGTATGTAGGCACAGGTACAATGATTTCTGTTGAACATTTAGAGCACACTGGTATCACAGAAACAGAAGTTATTTCCTCATCAGTAGTTAGAGAACACACCGTTATTAAGATACCACTCAGCATTAAATACCAATTTTAACGTTTCCCAGTATAGAGCAGAAATACCAGAACAGTATCCTCATATCCATGTCAAATATAAATGAACTTAATGAATAAAACTGCGTTACTTGCTGCCAGGTCTGTAAGATCGTTTGCGCATGTATGACTACGAACCTATGTTATTTACAATGCAAATGTGAAACAGGCACATGAGATTTTGATACTCCATTTTCTGAACCAGTTGTTAGGTACTTGAGATGGCATTATAAAACATGCATATAACTATAGTTCTTAAATTATTTCAGAACACTGACCAATAGTTTATTGCTCACATTTAAAAACTTAAGACGTTGTAATCAAAAGCTCTTTTTCTGTGTTGATACAGTATGTCACAACAACCTCAAGTAATACATTTTTCCCCGACCAAAATGCACAGTCTGATGGTGACTACAGTCTCATAAATAAAGTTTGCAACCTAGTGAAATTAAATTATAAAAATATAAAACTTTTAAATAAATCTGGTATTAATTTCTAATAATTTTTTAGTGTTGCTTCTATAAAAAAATTTGACCCAAATTATCCACAATTTATTTTAAAAGGAAAAACATTAACGTGTCTATTATGAATTAAAAAATTACTGGCTAAAGTCACCGATATTACTGAGTGGGAAGCAGTACCCATGTTCCACAGGTAAGGCCTTCTATTCTCGTAAAATTAAGATGTATGATTTTCTACCTACTGTTAAGGGAACGCATATTACTTCAGTCTCCGAAACTTACATACAAGGTATTTTCAATATATAAATATATACATAAACATGCCATATAAAACATTATTACAAATGGAGTAAATACAGAAGTTGAATTTTAGATATAATCTATTTCGTATATTACAATGCAGATAACATCAGGAAATTACACATTTTCAAGTGATTGCCTTCATCAGTGAGATTTGACAAAATTAACAAGTAGAATCAGTTAGCTTTGAATTGTGAAGCTGTATTGCAACTGTACAACCATAGCTTGTTATCTTACCACCTGTTTAGTGACTCTATTTTAATTGAATGATAAATACTTGTTAAAGAAAAATAAATATACCAACAAATGAAATGCAAACTAATCCCTGCTCCCCATTTCATATCCATAGCAATTCAAAGAGGGTCTGGAAAATATTTTAGTCATTTTTTGTAGCAAAATGCATAATGATCTACAGAAAACTAGGTATGGTGGATACCAACTTGCTTGCTAGCATACTTCTATTCCTCTTGGTGCCAGATACCAATGTTCTTTGTTCAACCATTTAAGATTTTTTTTGTAACAGAAAATAAAGAGTGAAGAATTAGGCCTCAAATAAGTATACAGAATCTGTGCAAATTTAAGGTCTTAATTCTGTATGCCCTCCCTTCCAGATATTGCAGATTATGTTTATTAAAAAAAAAAAGAATTATTATAAAGTAAGGGTGTACAGAATTGAGGTTTCATTTCAGGTTTATTTCTTCAACTAAGTTAGGGTCACACACAATAAAAAAAAAAAAATCTTTCACACTACCCAAACTTCCAAAATAATGTATAACCAGAAAATTTTGGTTACATTTTTGTACCATACCAGATCTCAGAAAATACGACTACTTCTGTATTTTTTTCTTAAAACTGGACAATACTTTTTTAAGTGATAGAAAATGGTATTAAAGTTTGTTTGCAAAGGTATAAAATAACTAAATGTACCATAAACAAATAAATAACTGCTTTTCTTTTCCAGAGCAGTACATATAACAATACATTCCCCTAAGTCATATAGTTATCATTTACAATAGACAACTTAATTTTACTAAGGATGCAAGAAATAATAGAATACAAGGCACAATCATTAAATGGAATTTTTCTTCAGGGTGTATATTGACTTATGTCAGCGTGATATACCATAAAAAGTGCAGAAAAACACAATGTGCAATGAGACCACTGTATAAAACATGATTGCATAAAAAGTGATTTGGCCTTTTAACCTTAATAATTGAAAATAACCGATCTTCCCCTTAAAATTAAACTATAAAGTATGACATTTTAAAATTTATTTTCAATTCTAGTGCTATCTAAAAAATCCTGAAAAAAATTTATACCTGGGTAATATTTTATATGTATGTGTTTATGTATATATTAATATATACACATACACTCTTCTTTGTAGGTCATTTTAGCCTCTTAAGCATGTCTAATGTTGTAGAAACAACAATCAATCTGGATCAGAAAGTAAACATCATAATTCCATACCTGTCCTGTAATTTCCTTGAATCCTTTAACCAATTATACATTTTGTCTAAAACATCTCTGTCAAAGGACCCCACCAGTGCATTATTTTCTACCAAAAGTACCAAAAAGGATACATTTCAGAACAATGTTAACAACTTACTATTTAAAACAATACACAGCTTTTATCACTGCAAATGGTATGCTGTACTGACACTCAAAAAGAAAAAAAGGCTTTCCACTGCACTGATTCTCAGTCTTTGGCACAATAAACAGAGATTTAGTGATTGATACAAGAATCAAGGTCTGAAAAATTAGACATTAGTCAAACTTTTTCCAATGTGGATATATATATATACTTGTGATTACATTTTTGCTATGTTTGGCAGAACTTGGATAAACCAACAGCCTGTGCTAGGCTTCTTTTGCAGCTGAACGTTCCATCACTACTGAAATTAAGCATTTTCAGATTAGCAAAGTTTGGTATTTTTGTATTTAATAGAAATGTAAGTGAATTTACTGCCACTTTTTGCCAAAATCTGCCTTCCTAGGCAACTTGACTTTACAATCAAAGTGTACCTTGCTTGGTCAAAAATAGACTTCTGTTTTCAGTTTGTGGCATTAAAAGTTCTATCACCTTTTTTTAATTGTGTAGAGATACTACGCACTACTCGAGCAGAGTAGTCCTCAACTCCGTGCGTCAGTCAGAAATTGCTTCAATTATTCTCAACTGTGAACAAAATGACTGTTGAAATGCATAACCTGTTTGGAGGGCAATAAATAGCAAAAGTTTAAAATATATATTTCTTTCAAAGAATGTTCTTTCAGTTTATTTTTTGCTAAATTTTTCTCCCCAAATCAGAACATGTTCTTCTAAACCATAATAGCAGCAGGGAAGCAGAAGTCTGTTCTGCTGTTCCTTAACTGTACCTGCTTCATAGCATTCTGAAGTAAAACCCTTGGTAAAAATTACCAACCAATTAAATTAGCTTTTGCTTTTTCAGTCAACTTTCGGACTCTGCCTCTGCTAGATGTTCCAAAAGTTAAGGAGGTGTCTTCAAACAATAGCTGCCTTTGCTCTTCCTCAGAGTCATCTTCATTGTAAAAGGCTGTCCTCCTACCCTGGTTTCTAGTTCTCATGTGAGGTTCAGAATCTTTAAGCTCTTCAGACCCCTCCTCCATAGGCTCATCTATCTTTTTCCTCCTGCTTCTTGTTTGCATTTTAACATTCGCAGGAACTAAGAGGTCCGAGCCTGGCTGATGGGTCTTTATCTTCCTTTTTGGCTTTCTACCCCCACGGCCTTTTTTTTGTAACAAGTCTTCCTTCATATTATTTTCAGAAAGAGAATTGCATGCAGTAGAAGCAGAGGCTTCTTCTGGTACATCCCTTGCGGTCTGGATTGTATTCTGCTCTGCAACCTTTTGTTGTTCAACAACTTGTAGCTTTTTTGGTTTTCTGCCTCTTTTCTTGTGCACCACTTCACAGCTACTGTTATTAGTCTCCACCTTCGGTTTCCGTCCAGGACCTCTTTTAACAGGAGGTTTCGAAGGCTGTCCTCCATGTCCATTTACCTGAATGCTTCCTGATGCCAAAGCATTATTCTTGCAATCTGCTGTAAAGAAATCAGAGTACTTATCATGTAACAGATTTGCATTTACATTCATTTTCACACTGCCTTAATAAAACTTACTAAAATATCTGAATGGATTCACAGTGATTGCCAATCTGTCAAAATCTAAGAAACCCAAAGTAGAGCTCAAAGAGCTTCATGCCAGTATGCAATGAGGACTAACTTCTAGTTGGTTTAGCTCAAGGTAGCTTGAAGAAAAAAAAAGAAAGAAAAAAAAGAAAAAAGGGAAAAGCTCAAGTGTTTTTCTTGGCTGATACACCACCAGTGGCCAAAAACTCCTGTTTGGTATCTGCAACAGCAAAAAGTTGCTCAAGAAGCACTGCTGCAAGGATCGGGAATGCTTCACAGCAGGTCATCTCTGGAGAAATGAATCATAGAATCATTAAGGCTGGAAGAGACCTCCAAGATCATCGAGTCCAACCGTCAACCCAACAACACCATGCCCACTAAGCCATGGCCCTAAGCGCCTCATCTACACGTCTTTTAAATACCTCCAAGGATGGAGACTCAACCACTTCCCTGGGCAGCCTCTTCCAATGTTTAACCACCCCTTCAGTAAAGACATTTTTCCTCACATCCAATCTAAACCTCCCCTGGCGCAACTTGAGGCCATTTCCTCTCGTCCTTTCGCCAGTTACTTGGGAGAAGAGACCGACACCCACCTCGCTACAGCCTCCTTTCAGGTAGTTGTAGGGAGCGATGAGGTCTCCCCTCAGCCTCCTCTTCTCCAGGCTAAGCAACCCCAGTTCCCTCAGCCGCTCCTCAGAAGACTTGTTCTCCAGACCCCTCACCAGCCTCGTTGCCCTTCTCTGGACACGCTCCAGCACCTCAACGTCCTTCTTGTAGTGAGGGGCCCAAAACCGAACACAGTATTCGAGGTGCGGCCTCACCAGGGCCGAGTACAGGGGCACTATCACTTCCCTGCTCCTGCTGGCCACACTAGTTCTGATACA